ATTTTGCTGCTGTTTAATTCTGCATTCGATCATCTTGTGGCCTAGTTTTCCACAGAAATGACATCTTATTTCAGACGGAGCCGCTTCTTCTTGCAGAGTTTTCTTCCTTTTGTTGAAGGTAAATGCTTTAAGCTCTGTTTGCAATTCACTTCTGGTCCGTACATTTGAAGTAAATGTCCATCGCTGCAATCTGCTATCCACATGTGCCATCTTAGCAAGCGTTACTGAAGCTGCAATTTCCTCCACATTCATATCACGCCATTTCGTAATAAGTGACGTCATCATGCGACTAACATAATTGGAAAGGCATTCACCGTCAGTTGGACAATCTGCCAGCATTGCCAAAAACATAGCCGCTGGAGTTTCCGCACTGGCAAAACGTTGAACGAAAAGTTCTTTAAATTCGGCCCAAGTTATGCCAGGATAACAAATTTGAGCAAGCCACTGCGAAGCACTACCTTCCATCGCTGCACTCAAAGCCATCACCAACGCGCTGCCTTTTATGGTGTTTTCTGCGAAAATTATGTCCACTGTAGAGCACCACGCCGTTGCATCGACGCCAGCACCGTCTGCGTTGAATTTGGGTAGCACTACCGAATTTTTATTTGTTGTTTCGGATGTCGTTGTTTGCAGTGTTTTAACAAGCTCAATAAAGTTTCTATTTTGCATTTCCATTAAAAACCGCCATGGTTCACTAGACATATCAGGTAGCGAGCCCGATCCCACTTCTGATGTCGCAGTTTCGTTGTTATTCGCCATAATGCACTGAAGTACTACGCACAACTGCCTTGTGTCGCACTCTTCTTCTCCGTGCTTACCATCGAACAACACTCGGCGTCAGCGACAACACGCTGGCGCCGCGCTAAAACGGTTCTTCCCAAAAACTACAAACTACAGGCAACCAATAACTGCGCAAATAGAGGCTGATTCAATATTTCCATTATGATGAAATACACTACCAGAATACCCATATACTAACACATGCAAAATTATGCTCCGACATATATAAGTTTAATTCAGAAATTAAATTCAGAGAAGGTAGAAAATTTAGAAACTCAATGCTAAAACATAATACTGGTGATGTTCATCCTGTTCAGCATGTACTAGTACTAGTAAATTCGGCGAGAGCAATTGAAGAGTTAAGAACAGAACTGGTATAAATTAAATCAAGTAACTTCATTTGGTGATAGCTGAAATTTTTGTTGGAAATGAAGCGGTAATGCGAAGAGAACTTTGATCCAAAAGAAGGTCGAAGGTTATGTCCAAGTTAGTTACCAGGGGTGTTTTAGTGCCGCCTTGATGGGAGTAGAGATTGATAATGGATCTCTTTTAAGAAAATGAACAACCATCAAATCAGAGGTTCTTCTTATGGATGAATCGACTCACTTTAACCGATTGCGGCTAAAGCTCATAATGAAGTCATCTGGATAATGCTGCTCAAGAACTCAAAGTTTAAAGTTGATAAACTTCAAAGTATTTAAATTCGGTTAACTTTTTCATTAACTTTTTCTCGAGGGTAATGTTGACTATAGAAGCCTGAGGGAAGGTGATTTTAATTTTAGAATTTAACTTTAGATAAAGACATTCCGAAATTAACGCCTGATAAGCCCACCATTCCTTGAGTATAAGAGAAAACAACCATACCCTAGCGACTCAGAATTCAAGGGCGAGGACCTAATAAGAACGTTGACACCAGTGAACAGCAGAGTAGGCCCTGCTTAAGCAGGTAGTGCAGGTGGGCATACATAATGGATTAGCCGAGCAAGCCGGCGAAAATCAGCAAAAGGATATTTGTTACAAAAGATATTTGATTCACTGGCCAATAAGATGGCAGAATTGCGAGACGCACGCTTTGACCAAATAAATGAAATCATACGATTTAAATCTATAGAACAATCGACGGGAGACTTCATGAGCATTTAAAAACCATATTTTTTTTTGTTCGTAACGTGTACTATAACACGTATGTTGCAACATACTGTAAGCTTTTCGATGACAACTACGAGATAGGTATTACCGGTAGATAGATAGATATTACCGGATAGGGGCTTTTAAAACCGGACCTCCAACTCACAGAAATCACGAAATGAATGGGTTTATCTTTTGAAAATTCTTTGATACCAATTCATTATTTCGAATATAAGTATGGCGTCACTGTATTCGTGAGATTGGATCACACCCACAGCTTTCTCAAATGCTAATTTAATATCTTTTGTTGTAAAACTTTTTTAAAACTGTTTCGGAACTTTATTGTATCTTTGAATAAACCGAAAAAACCATATACCGAAAAATATTAACCGAATATAAAATTTTTTTTGGTACAGTGTGTATGTCCTTCGTTCAACAAGCTCTAACACAGATCCTATGTTTTGATTAGTAGCATCTGAGCATACTCATCGGACACAAAGTGTAATTGTAAATGAAGCAGAAAAAAGCAATACTCTAGCCAAAACAAACTTTTTGTTTGGGCGATCACACTGGCCGGGGAAAAAATATTCTATCCAATGCGATAGAGTGGGTGTGGCAAAAGTATTTTGGCAAATCTATAGAAATTTACAAATTACTAGGTGTTCGAATTAATTCGTAGCGCTTTTTTGCAAAGTTTCGTGATTTATTATGAGGGTATCATTACAGTAGCATTATTCTGGTAAAGTTCGAATACCGCGTCGAAAAAATTCTTCTTTCGATTCGATGAATGAATCGATCCAATTTGTGGTCACGTCGTAGTTTGCGCTGCTCTGACAAGCCATGCGCCATGGATCGGAACAAATGATAATCGGATGGAGCAATGTCCGCTGAATATGGCGGGTGGGGCAAAACTTCCCATTTCAGCGTTTCCAAATAAGTTTTCACGACTTTCGCAACATGGGGTCTTGCATTGACATGAAGCAAAATTACTTTGTCGTGACGATCTTTATATTGCGCCCGCTTTTCCTGCAATACATAATAAATAACGCCGAGTTGATCCCCCCAAATGCACAGTAAGATCTTCTTTCCATGAATATTCTGCCTGGAAGATGATGTCGATGCATGACCGGGTAAGACCCACGATTTTTTCTGACTATTCGAAGCAAAAATCCTTATTCCTTATCTGCCGTTGAAGAAGAATCTCACAGGTGGTTAAACGCCGTTGGCGTCCCTTGGCTTCAACTCATATGGAACCCACGTTCCCTGTTTTTGTACTATTCCTATGGCTTTGAGGCGTTTTCCGACCGTCGAAAAGTCGACTCCAAGTGATGTGGACATCTCCAGAAGTGTTTGGCACGGGTCTTCATCGAGCAAACGTCACCAAATCTTCATCTTCGAACTTTTTCGGTTGTCCAGGACGTTCTTTGTCTTCCAAGTCAAAATTTCCACTTTTAAACCGCGCAAACCACTTTCTGCATGTTTTCTCAGCGAGAGCATGTTCACCGTATATTCTTTTTTCTTCATGTTAAAATAATGAAGTAACGCTCCCCGAAAAAAACGATTTTTCAGGCACAAACTTCGACATGTTTGATACTGCACAACAATTGCTATGAACACAATAAGGCAATGTCATATACTGGTGAAGATGCGCTAATGTCAGTAGCTTCCAGGAGAGTATTTACTTTTGTCTGTGTGACTATGAATAGTTGGCTAGCGCCATCGTTCGTAAAACGCTATGAATTAATTCCAAAACCTAGTATATAAAAAAGTGACAAAATATCACATTTTTTAAGTGTGGGCGTGACAGTTTTGGGCGGTTTGTGGGCCTGGCAAGTCTATAGAAATTTACAATATACATTTAAAAATGAAAAAATATCACATTTTTTAAAAGTGTGAAGGTGACAGTTTTGGGCGATTTGTGGGCGTAGGAGTGGGCATGGCAAATTTTTTTTTTTTGCATAGCGATACAAAATTACATACATACATATGTATATACAAAACTGAAAAAATATCACATTTTTCAAAAGTGTAGCCGTGACAGTTTTGTGCGGTTTGTGGTCGTTAGAGTGGGCGTGGCAACATTTGGAAACACTCTCTATGTCTCTAGAAGCTGCATGCTTAATCTAAACATTCTAGCGTTTGTAGTTCCTGAGATCTAGGCGTTCATACGGACAGACGGATATCAAGATCCTGATCAAGAATATACATACTTTTCAACGACTCTAGTATACCCATTTCTTTCGAGAAACAAGTTAAAATATATATGACAACAACACTATTAATGACAGCCAGACAACCAATTAAAATTCAATATAGTATAATGGTAAGAAGTGACAAATTGTAAGTTACACCCAATTAAATTCAAAAAGTTCCAATATAGTAATATATGAAGCTCAATTTTAAAAGCATTCTTTAGGATATTTCGAATGATCATTCAACGAAAAACTGCGTGCGATGTTTTATATTTTGTACCAAGCGAGAGGTCCACTCTTACATTTTAAAACATTTTAATCAAACATCCGTGTTAAAACTTTACTTTTCGACTAACTTTGTATACCCCTAACTCTACGAGTAAACGTAAGACTAAGGTAAGTGCGGATTTTATTATTCTATATTAATAAAATGAATGTTACTGATAAATGTCATCACACTCGTAGTTATTTAAGCTGAACATTAAAAGAGGCACTATAGAGATTTTTCTTCTTAAATAATAATAATAAAATGCGCTAGTTATCTATAAGATATTATTCTATGGAATAATTTGAAGTTCTATGAGATTGAATAAGCCGCAAACTATGTGGTCCATAGATAAAACATATAAAATACGACTATAAAATAGTCTCAGCTAATGGAAGTTCGAGGAATATGGAGACGAACAGCAAAGGAGGTTCTATACCAAGCTGAAAATAAATGCTTTAGCATGCAGACTTACAATTATCTTCTAGTAAGTTTTTAAAATCTTTCTAAAAAGCCGCCTTATATTTTTAAGGAGGTTCTAGTAGACGTGCCAAATAATTGTAGGAAGATATGATAATATAAATTATTGATTTCAATATATATTATATATATATAAAATGATAAAAAATCCTTACCAGCAACAGAATTGCCCCGATTTGATGGGTCATGATATGAGTCTATTCCGCAAATCATTACGTTTTTAAATGGAATTTTTACCGTCCACAATGAGCCTCCAATCTTACAGTTCATCTGTAGTACAATTTTTTGAACAACGGATCGAATTTTTAATTCATTTAGTAAAGTTTTAGCATTTATAACCTGAAAATAAATTTGGGAGTTTAAATACTTTATACTTTTGTATATATACTGCTTAAATACTTTAGCTAACTTAATATAGAAAAGACATAGTCAATCAAATGCCTAGAGAATCTTCCTGTTACTTCGATAACACAGTAAAACCACTACCATAGCGAGATTACAGATACTTGCAGTCCCCTTCTATTAACGTGCAACTAGGAAACGGCAATCTTACCCTTGCAGCGGTATACATTTCTGGACTTTTCCAACACCCTAGGGGACCTCTTCATTGCTACAGATGACTATAACGACATACACACCCACTGGGGATCACGCCTAATCACCCCAAATAGAAGCCCTAGGACAACAAACCTAGACAACGAGCAGGTCGTCCTTGAAAACCGATGTATGCGAATGAAGTGGAAAGTTTATAGATCGCCAATCGTGAAGCAAAGATTAAAAAGTGCTTCACGTAAACTCTCCAATGCGCTGAAGCAGGAGGCACGTAGAGCCACTATCAACGTCAAGCGTTAAAAACTCCCTATGGAAACCTCATCCCAGTTTAACCCCATCAGCAGAAATTCTTTCACCTTTAAGAAATCCGGCGCATCAATCGAATAACATCAGAAAAACGAACTGATTTCAATAAGCGGGAATATTACACGGCAATATTTATCGATGTCTCTCAGGCCTATGCGAAGGTATGGCCAAACTTGTTTTTTGTAAAAAATTAAAGCAACAAAAACACCCACACACTCCTGAAATTGTATCTCTACAACATCTATACAACATGTGAGATGAAACTTTAATATATCCGACGACCATGATATAAACGCTGGAGTTCCCCAAGGCAGCGTACTTGGACCCACGCTTTATGTCCTTTATACAGTAGACATACCAACAACAGAATACTAACGACTTCTACGTTTGCCGACGACAAACTCGATCACAAACAAACGAACAAAAATGTAAGCATTTGACATTCACCACACTCAATCGGCATGACTGCCCCTTGATTACCTTAAACATCACTGTACTCCTGAAAGCAAATGAAGATACTTATCTTGGAGTCCACTTCGACTGAACGCTCCCCTGGAGCAAGAACATCAAAGACATCTTAAGCTTCAGGCTAGTGCCTCCTTTGGCTTATTATTATCGGTCATCTCTTTGTGTGGACTAAGGGATCTTACTCTATAATTCAGTTTTATAACCAATCTGGACGTACGGCTCCCAAGTATGGGGAAGTACCAGCAGCAGTAATATTGACATCATTCAAAGTGCTGAATCAAAGATACTGAGAGCACTCCCTGGAGCACCGTGGAATAGTCGAAACGAAAATATTCAAAGAGACCTGAACATGAGATCCGTCAGAGAAGAGATACCTCAAAAAAAAACATAAGTACATTAGCAAATTAACTTCACATCCTAAATACATAGCGGCAAGTCTAACGCGAGTTTGCCCGATCCCGTCTTCGCCGCAACGACCCTCCCCGACCCAACGATTATCGTTAGGTCCCTATTTTTCCAGATCACAGTTCAAAAGATTGTGAAATATAATTAAGATTAGAAATATTTTTGTTATTTCTCATATATCACATTATTTCTGAGAAGATCCAAAAAAAAGGAGTTATATTAAAAAAAAAATTTAATACTATGTGTATTGCTAAGTTGAAAATAAAAAATAAATTAAGTTCAAAGAACAACAAAGAGAGAAGCTTTTGAATGAGAGAGCGGTGGGGAAGGTGATCGAAATCCCTGAGCTAAGGGCAATGATAGGGAGAGAATAGTAACCAAAGAAAGGTACTTAAAAATACACCTCCAGAAGCAAGCTTTGAAAAAAAAAGATTATTGCGACTAGCTGCGCTGCAGCCAAAGAGAAAATGAAAATATTTATGACCGACGAACCTGACTCTAGATTTCCTACATCAGAAGTGTTCTCAACATCCCTGCAAAACAATACCGAGAAAAGCTCGTAAATTTGTCTGGTATTGGATACTTTGATTCTATGCCCAAGTAGGTGCACAGCAGATCCACGATGACCAGAAAGGGATCAACGGTGATATCTTTCAAATGTGGTTATGCTGGACACATCGCAACAGTGTGTACGAAGTGAGCAGCAACAGTAAATATAATTGAAGTAATATTAGAAAGCTACAAATTCGATACATATAAAACTAAAATTGTGTTATCGGTAATTTTAATAAGGTGGATTATATCAAAAATGTAGGAACAAAGCGATATATTGGCCAAACACTCCATGTTTTTTGTCAATGATATTCGAAGTAGACGCGTAACTAACGGTTCATTGGAAATTAAAAAACGAATACATAAGTATCTACACACACAGTCTACCTGATGAGCGAGTCTTATGAATTGATTAAGGACGTCAAAAAGGATGTACGCAGGAAAGCTTTGAAGTAAGAAGTGCAAGTGGAACCATACACAGGGACTAAGTTTAAACAATGATGTTACGAAGCGTCGCATAGATGGGGGTTATAGACTATGTTAATACAAATTGTTTATACAGTAAATGGCGATGTTCCCTAATTTGAATAGGTATACCATGCTAAACAAACATTTGAAAACTTGTGGCGGACGATTGAGCTTGAGTAGAAGAGAACTTGTCCTCGAAATCAGTCGTGGCCAATTCCCTATCTTATGGGATTGGGAATTCCTCTACCGACGCTCTGCCGCCACACCGACACTGTAAACGATGACACGATCCTCGGTAGACGTGTTCGGCTTGACTCGTGCAAACGAAAATCAATTACTGTTCAACCGCAAAAAAACGTTTTGCGAAGAGTGGAAAAATGATTTTCTTCATTAAAAAAGAAAAGAAATTAAGTACTCCTTCACTTTTTTCACTTCGCCCGGCTAAAATATACGTTGGGAAGAAAGTTCCAAGTTAGATGCGGAGTGTCCTTTCTAGCTTCTGCCTCTGATCCCCAAGAAACCACACTTATACTGAGTCAACTGGATGGCTGCAATGCCGAAATGTGATGAATGACAAACAGTCTACGCGAACCCTGGCTTGCGCAGGGGAATGACCTTCCATCATACTTTCAAGCAACCTGAAGCAATATGATAAGCAAGATTACCATGCCAAGAATGCTAGATGTTTGCTAGATGCTTCAGCAAAAGGAAAATTAATTAGGATCGCCCAATCAAACACAAATAGCGACTGCGTTAGCTGCGACGAATTCGTTCTCCTAAAACGCAATGTGTGGCATAATAAAAGTACACAAGTCACTAGACTGAAACCAAGAGACGTTTGGGAAATCAAAGTCGCCAAGAACAATAAGATGATTATTGTCGCCAGTCATCGAAGATACATGACAGGTGTAGTAAATAAATATTAAATTCGGATTCAATATTTGAGATTTTACAGGCAGTAGAACATCACCAATACGACGATACGGACAATCGACCCTATAAATTAAGTAATTACTTTACAAAGTAAAACATTGCGTTTTATAAAAGTCGATAAAATTAATTGAAAATATCGCAGATACCTTCTGACTTCAAAGTGAACGGTCATGTTTCTTTATTTTATTTTTGCTCTTGCCAAACCCAGCAAGGGTTTTTAATAAGTTTTTTGTTAATTATATTTTGTATATAATTAAAACTATAAAAACTCCGTTGGCTTCGCGAGTGAATCTCTTTCGATTTGTGCACTGCTTTAAACAAATTAATTAAAACTTTTGTTTTTTCTGTCTTTGTGTTCTGTTTACTCTCTCTTTTGTAGTGCTGCTTCGTGTTGTTTTTGTTCGCCAATAAATGCACTGTGCACCCGCTCTCCACACACCTAGCTAAGGGCCCAAATCTAAAATATCGTTTTAATATCGTTTATGCGCCAAGCTAAAGATGGCTTGGACTGATCGTCGAGCTGATGATCTTCTTTTCGCGCTAAATTCGCAGTTTAATAGCCTTAAGTTATTAGAGAAATCGCCAAACCGCAAGAAAGCCGCTGGTGGTGGGCTGCCTAATGGGAATGCACCGCAGCATTCGGCAAGTGATTAACAGGGCTCCACAGCTGATCGGTTGTCGATCGTAGCAAATCCTCAAATGTTACTAAGATCGGCAGCTAAAAAAGATTCGGAGAAATCCTATTAATATATTGTGAAGGGACTCCAATTTGGGATGCTAGAGATTCCGCTTTGTCTGCACTGGTTTCTCAACCAGTGATTCCAACCAGGGACATTTCATCTTTCAAGATAGTGAGCTGCTTTCCACCACATGTTCTGGTTATTTTGGCCGGATAGTATGGTCAAACTAAAGTTCGAAAGATCAAAAATAGGAAAAAAGGGACCGTGGGAATTAAACTTTCCTCACGTGCCCAGACCACTGCCGCCCCCTCTTCTACTTCTTTCTCCTCTTATTCCTCTCTTTTTAAAAAATCTAACATCTAGTTTCCTATCCTATCTAACTATCTCCTATCACAATGCAAGATGCTTGCGAAACAAGCTAACTACATTTTATTCTGATAGCCTTTCTTTTCCATTTGTGTTTTCAGAGACTTGCGTTGTCGCAAGTTAATTATATTCGAAACTCTCTTGGTCGATTATTGGATCTATGCCTTATAAGAAGTTCTAATAGGATGTTTCAGTCCAGAGTTGCACCTCTTTCTCAGTCGGAAGATCCATAATATTCAACTTTTGAGGTGACAATGGACACAGGTACATAAGATAAATCAGAGAAGTCTGTTTTCGGGAGGCAAACTTTCTGAGGCTAAATAATTTTCATCCGGCTTTAATTGGTCCGATCTTTACTCCTTTGTTTACTCCCCCTTTAAACGAAAGCTCACTGCTTTACGATCTTCAGCGTCTAAGCCTGTCTATTCGCCAGGCCTCGACGGAATTCCGGGCTGTGTTCTTAGACTCTGTGCGGAAGCCTTGTGCAAGCCTTTACTGAAACTGTTTACCTTATCTCTGGAATCTTCACAGTTCCCCCATATATGGAAAGAGTGATTTGTGATTCCTCTCCATAAAAATGGTAACAAATTTGATGCAAGGAATCACAGA